TGTGAAGAATATTCTGCAAGCTCAGATTGAGAGCTCTGATTTCAATGGAAAAATGTTTTGTCGAAATATTTTCATGATTCATGTTTACAGATCTAGTTTCTAAGCTCTACATGGTACCAGAGCAGGATAAGTAAGAGATTATGGCTCGCAACGAGAATAGAGAGATGGTTACCAGATCCAACTACTCTCGCGACATAGATCCACTTTCGCTCCATGGCTCCGATCATCCTGGCATGGTCCTTGTCACAAACCTACTCACCGGCACAAATTATCTCCATTGGAGCAGAGCTATGAGGTTAGCCTTAGGCGCTAAATCTAAACTGGCTTTTGTATATGGAACTGTTAAGGTGCCTGAACAGAATACTGAAGAATATGAACAGTACCAGAAAGTTGAGTTTATGGTCATATCCTGGATAATTAATTCGATCTCAAAAGAAATTGTTGCAGCTTTTATGTATGTTAAAACTGCAAAGCAGCTTTGGGATGAGTTTGCTGAAAGGTATGGAGAAAGTAATGGACCCCTAAAATACCAGCTGCAAAAGGAGATTGCCAATTTTTCACAAGGTCTTCTATCTGTTACAGTTTATTACACTAAGCTGAAGTGTCTTTGGGATGAGCTTGACTGTTTAATGACTTTACCTGAATGTGTGTGTGGTGCTGGGAAGGGTTTTGTTGAAACTGATATGGAAACCAAACTAATGCAATTTCTCATGGGTCTAAATGAGGTATTTGAACCAGTGAAAAACCAAATCCTTTTGATGGATCCCTTGCCTACTGTGAATAAGGCTTACTCAATGATATTAAAGGTGGAGAAGCAGAAAACCTTGATACCAAGCAACATAGATCCTCTTGAGACATCTGCTATGATGGCAAAGGGTAATTTTGGTAGAGGAAATGACAGAAATCAAAACTTTGGTAGAGGAGCTTTTGGTAGAGGAATGGGGCAGAACTCTGGAAACTATGGTAGAGGAAGAGGCCAAAGGCTATCTAAGGAGGAAAGATCAAGGTTGTTTTGCACACACTGTGGGTATAATGGACATGAGAAGCAAGGCTGCTTCAAGCTTCATGGATATCCTGAGTGGTACAAGGAACTCAAGGAACAAAGGCAGAATCAGTCCATTAACTTAGCAGACAGTGAAGACTCTAAGACAGATTCTGAAGTTAAATCTCAGCATAGTGAAGGTGCTACTGACATTGGACAGCTGGCAAAGGAAGTAGCTAAATATCTTTCAGCTGCTCAGGGAGGAGAAACACATAGTTTCTCACACTTTGTTGATTCCATTGGAAATAGAGAGGACTATGCCTTCTCTTTACTCAGCAACCTAAGGAGGGGAAGTTGGATTGTTGATACTGGGGCAAGTAGACATATTTGCTCAGACATTGCTTTGGTTCATAGATCTTATCATGTTGGACTACCTGTTGTGGTCAATCTTCCAGATGGAACTAAGATTGAGGTTAATCAAGTGGGAGAGGTAAAGTTGACAGCAGACATTGTGCTAAAGGATGTGTTGATAGCACCAGAATTCAAATACAACCTGCTGTCAGTTGGACAGTTGATAACCAATGGAGACTTGGAGTTTCATTTTTCAGAACATGGTTGCAGCCTACAGGATATGAAAGATCACACAATCATTGCAAAGGGAAAGGCACTTGGAGGATTATATATCTTGGAGAACCAGTTCCATCATTCTCACATGGCACATGAAGCATCTCAGAACTTAAACCAGTTGGAATTGTGGCATAAGAGGTTAGGCCACAGTTCTATCTCTTCAATGCAACACATTGGCTTTCTTAAGGGA